TAATTGTTTTGCAACATGAATCTTTCATTCCATTTTAATGCTTCAATGGCTGATCATGTTTTCATAGTTCAATCTTATTGATGTCGTGCTATTTTCTTAGATATATTTATTTCAATGTTGTTATTTTACCTCCAACATCGCAGGGCTCAGAGATGCTGGTGCTGCCGCTGATGATCATGGGGGGCCTGCTGGTGCTGGGGGGTCTCTTCTCCCTACTGCTGCCTGAGACGCTGCACCAGGTGTGATGTGATGAGTGTGATGTAATGGCTGTGATGCCATTAATGGGTGTGATGTAATGTGTGTGATGTCATTAACGTAATGGGTGCGATGTCGGTCAGGCGGCTGATCTGCAGCATGAATTGAAAAGGTTTCAGCTTTCTCTTTATTTCATGTCGCTCAGTTTCGATTGTTTGATTATTATTCCAGGATGAATTACTGTATGCCGGAAGGAAATAAGGAGAGGCTTCGAACATTTTCATTATCATAGAGTAACTCGAATTGACTATTGAAAATGGTGAGCAAAAATAGTGAGAGGTGAAAGCAGTGCATTGTATCAGTCAAATATTTGAACATATATTAAGAAATTATGTGCATTCATTCCGCTCAACATATTTTGAAATTTAGAAGGTACAAAAAGATTTCTAAATTTAATTATTAATATAGGCATAATTATTATAGTCATAATAGGCTTTATTTAGCCATGAGTAAGAACTTTTTCCTGGCTAGCCTGTAGGCAAGTATGATCCTGTCTCTTACGCTTATATGCATAAAAAAATTAATTAGTCATTGTCCAAATAGCAACACACTTCTTACCTGAAGCTTGAGCAGAGAGCAGACGTAGTACTTGCCGTTCACTGGCACAAACTGGGTCTGGATGACCTACCTACAAAAGGGCAAAAAGTGCATCGCTGGTTATTAAGATCAGTTGTAAAGTATCGCTAATTTCTGCGATATGGCGCGTGCACACTCAATATAGGCATTGATCTTGAGTTGCGAAGGCGAAATGCTACCAGTTTATGGAATTTTTGCAAACGGAAAGGCATATCACAAGCCTTTATAATATGATATATTAAAATTTAATAATATCTGGTGTATGCGTTGTAGCTTGGTCCATGCTTGGCCATGTCGCCGATTCTTGAAATCGCAGAATTTTCACAGTAGCTGGCAGTGGCCATTGAACCTCATATCACTACTTCAATTTCAGTAACCTCAAGTAGTTGGCTGCCGACAACATCTCCTCAATAAAAACAGAAAGGCACGATTTACGCAATTCAGTATTAGACACTATTAAGCAATGACAAAAAAAAATATATAATATAATGTTCGATTCGCTAAAAATAGAAGCAAATGCATTTCCCGAACATTAATCGAGTTAGTATAAACATAAAATCCAGCCATTAATCACGGGTTTTGTCGCCTGTTTCATAAAAAAAGACGCTATGGATTTCGACGAGGAGCTTAAGAAGGTGGGCGAGTGGGGCGCCTATCAGCGGCTAATCCTGTACAGTTTCCTGCTACCCGCGACTCTGCCGTGCGCCTTCCATGCCTACAACCAACTCTTCATGGCGTCCACTCCGCCTCACTGGTGCAAGGTGCCCGAACTTGAACGCCTGGCGCCTTATCTTAGCCCAGAGGCGCGAAGAAACTTGAGGTACGCAATAATTATTAATAATTTTCGTTACAAATCTTTAAGTCTTCCATTTCGGATAACACAGAAAGAGTGTAATTGTATTTTTTCTGCAAAATTGGATGAAAAGTTTCGGAGAAAATAGGCGAAAAGTTTGAATAGCCGAAAATTTGAGCGAGATTAGACGTATTTATGCAAATTATATCTAAGAATGGTGGTGTCTCTGGTGTATTCTTTGCTTAGGTCATGTTGGCCTGTAGCAGAATTCGACCAAAATTTTCACAGCTAGTTGCGGATTTCGAACCCCTAAACTCGCTGCTTCAATCTTAGTTTTCTTGACCACTCTGATTCAACTGAGAATAAGAAACAATAATTTTGCAGCGAAGAATGCCCAATCCTGAATAAACTTTGAGTGGTGGATGTTCTTCACAAAACTATATGCCAGAAGTGGAATAGTTAAATGCAGACAAACGTATTTGCATATTAAAAGGAATTTTCATAAGCGTGGTTATTTTTGTTGCAGCATTCCGTACGACAACACCAGAAAACGTTACAGCAGCTGCCAGATGTACGACTACAACTACACCGAGCGTCTCACTTCACTTGGAATAATCAACTCGTCTACCGCTCCCCCTATCGGTGGGAATACTAAGTTAATTTCTATACAGTGTTTTAAGTGTTATAAAACATTACCTCAGATTCGTATTGTTTTAACTTCCTATTCACGTTTTCACTCATTTTACTTGATATAAATATCATTTTAGGTCTTATTGACGAAACCAAACTTAGAAAATAGAAGCAGCATGGACGGACCTAGCCTTTTTTCATAATATTGTTCGACAACAAACAATAATATCAAGAATCCTATTAACTAAAAATGTAAAAATAACTCTTTATATGTCACCTTATTGGTCACGTATAGGTGAAGGTAGTGACACCGTAGCCCCGGTGGTGCCATGTGGGGAGGGTGGTTGGCACTACCAGCTACCTGCCAACTCTACCAGCGTCGTGGCTCTGGTAGGTGGTACTTGTATCATTGTTTGGTCAAAGTCCCAGTAATTTTTCTCAGCGTTTACATGCGCTGCCAATATCGTATTTCGCTGAAGCAAGTACACACAAGAACGAAATAATAAGAAAAAAACCATCATTGCAAAAAATAGAACAAGAATCACCTTACCAAGCTGCTTTGTATGGCACAACCCGCAGGGGGGTGGCCACGCGTCCTGTTGCATCGCAATGGCGGCAAAAGGATCTCGTGTTTCGCTCTTTCCTGTTTGCTGACCATTTGTATCTGTTGTGTCAATTGTGTGGAAATTGTGTTGGTGNTGAGGTATATCCGGATAGGATAGGATATTGTATTGAGTGATAGGGGATATACGTTCACAATAAAGAGGAATATTTTATGAGAATAATCAAAGACATAGGCAATCTTTAGCTTATTTATCTGAAAAGATAGGCGACAAATTTTTAATAATATCAATCGGTTAAATGGGTTAAAAATCAGAATTGGATATAATATGCTTTCTTTCACAAAGAAGACAATGAAGTTTACGCTAAATTACTTCGGCTGAGTAGACACCCTATTTTCTACATCTACCTGACCGTCTTTTTTCACAGGCTAGGTAGATAGGCACTCGTCATTCTACATCTACCTGACCGTCCTACTCACAGGTTAGGTAGACACCCGTCCTTCTACATCTACCTAACCGTCCTACTCATAGGCTAGGTAGACACCCGTCCTTCTACATCTACCTGACCGTCCTTTTTTCACAGGCTAGGTAGATAGGCACTCGTCCTTCTACATCTACCTGACCGTCCTACTCACAGGCTAGGTAGACACCCATCCTTCTACATCTACCTGACCGTCCTACTCACAGGCTAGGTAGACACCCGTCCTTCTACATCTACCTGACCGTCCTACTCACAGGTTAGGTAGACACCCGTCCTTCTACATCTACCTGACCATCCTACTCATTCATTCTTCCACATCTACCTGACCATTCTACTCACAGGCTAGGTAGACACCCGTCCTTCTACATCTACCTAACGGTGCTGGTAGTGTTCGGGACAGCCACGGCGTTCGCCCCGACGTTCGAGGTGTGGCTGATGTGTCGCGTGGGGGCGGGCTTTGCTGTACCTGCGATCTTGTCAACACCTTTTGTTCTCGGTGAGCTCAGTAAAATATTTAAATTATTAAATTTGTGATTGCATGGATTATTACATGGTTACACATATTATTACATAATGCGATACATGATTAAATATATTATTGCATAATTTGAATGATTGATTGATTAATTTTTATTCACAAAGGAGCTCTAGTTACAATTCAAAAGAAAAAAGAAAAACATTTATAAAATAATAGCTAGAGACATCCAAGTGAATGCCCACAAGCAGATAAGCTTCGCAGGCAACATATATGATTACGTATATCACTACATAATTAGATATATGATTACATTGATCATTATATAATTGGATATATGATCACATATATTATTACATAATTACATAATTAGACATGTAACAAATGTGGAATGCACACTTTGCATTCAAAATTTTTTAGTTTGCCTGAAGAATTTTGTCTTTACGCCATAATTACATAAGTTGATACAAAATTATATACATGTTTAAACACACAATTTCATGAATGAAAACATTACTAAATAATTGAATTTCATAATCTAACTAAAATTTCTTCCAAAATTTCGGAATTTTGTGACGTATTTATAGTTAAACTCGAAATTTTCGAAATTTCTACAAGCTATTCATCAGTCAGCAGACGTCTCAATGGCTGCAGCGAATAGATGGATTAAATAGAATGTATTCATTTGGCTTATTCATGTAATGTTTTGATTAATTCATAAATATTTATGTGTAATATTCAAACAGATTTGCGTGTTATTTTGTTTATTTCCGATTCCGGGATTTTAGTAGCTTATCATAATTTATTGCGATTATTATTTTTATATTATAATAGCACACATATTATTAAAAATAATTTAAATTCTTTAATATACTTGTGTTCCGACAGCCATCGAGCTCGTGGGGACACAATGCACTATTTGACCATGTTAGTTTTTCATTATTTATTTGTAGATTATGTTATTTATTTGTGCATATTGACGTGCTATTTCTTCTGTTTATAGGTATCACTTATTTATTTGCCTAGGGTTAAGGTATAAATTGGCTATATTTATGGTCCATTTATTCTATTACTACTCACTTTACGGCAGGTGGTAGCAGTTATTTATTTGGCCATATTTATGGTCTATTTATTCTATCACTACTCACTTTACGGCATGTGGTATCAGTTATTTATTTGGCCATATTTATTGTCTCTTTATTCTATTACTACTCACTTTACGGCATGTTGTAGCAATTATTTATTTAGCTATATTTATGGCCTTTTTATGGCCTCTTTATTCTATTACTACTCACTCTACGGCAGGGATCGAGCTAGTCGGGCCTCACCAGAGGACATACACTTCGGTGATGCTGAACGTGAATTTATGGTCCATTTATTCTATTACTACTCACTTTACGGCAGGTGGTAGCAGTTATTTATTTGGCCATATTTATGGTATATTTATTCTATTACTACTCACTTTATACGGCAGGTGGTAGCAGTTATTTATTTGGCCATATTTATTGTCTCTTTATTCTATCACTACTCATTTTACGGCAGGTGGTATCAGTTATTTATTTAGCTATATTTATGGTCTCTTTATTCTATTACTACTCACTTTACGGCAGGTGGTAGCAGTTATTTATTTGGCCATATTTATGGTCTATTTATTCTATTACTACTCACTTTACGGCAGGTGGTATCAGTAATTTATTTGACCATATATATGGCCTCTTTATTCTATTACTACTCACTCTACGGCAGGGATCGAGCTAGTCGGGCCTCACCAGAGGACATACACTTCGGTGATGCTGAACGTGGCCTACTCGTGTGGCCTGATCCTGCTTGCGGTTGTGGCCTACCTCGTCAGGGACTGGCAGAGCCTCTGCCTCGTCACCACTCTGCCCTTCATCGTCTTCTTCTTCGCATTCAAGTCTCACATTTTGCTCTCTTACTACTTTACATTGTCACTATATTTTAAGTTCTAACTCTATTTAGCTCACCACTCTTTTGGCTCACTAATTTTTGCTGCCTTTTTATCCTCTTATCTTATGCTACCTATCTTTTTGCTATCTTTTAATATCTTATATTTCTATTCTCTTATGTTTTTCATCTTTCAACTTTTCTTCTGGTATTTTGGTGACTTTTAAGTGACCTATCATATTTATTTCTTGGCCTTAGTCGTCATCTTCTAAACTTTTCTCGTCTCCCTTTCGGCCTTTTTAATTTATTTTGGCTTCCAGAAGAATTTTTTTGTTTGTATGTATAATTCTGCTCAGCTGTACTTAATTTCCTGAACAAATCGGATAGAAGTGCTTCTGTATTGAAAAGACCTCAACCTGTGAGCGTAATTTCCCTTTGCCTGTAAATTCCTCCTACACCCTAGGTATATCCCTCACCCTCCTAGCTACGTGGATGAATCTATCCCTTAATTCTTTACAGACGGAAACTTTGTGTACGTAGAATGCCACTCTGAAAATTTGAGCAGGCGGCAGCACTATCATGAATAGTTTCGAATTGGTAACTCAATCAACCAATCATTGATAGATTTTCAAGCTAATCCCACCAATCACAGATAAAAATTTGGCCTTTCGATCGCAAATCACCCCCATCCTCATCTTCCGCACTTTTGTCAAATTCCCCACATTAGCAAGCAAAATTTATTGGCAAATTACTCCTCTGTCAATTTCCTCCTCTTGTCAAGTCACTCTTAACCCTCCACTGCCGAATGTCGCTCTCACAGAAAATAACTTTCAACCTAAATTATGAACAAACTATTGAGTGTAGAACCCTGAGGACGTTTGTACGCAACAGAGAACATTTTAAAGTTGTCGTACGTGGCGGCAAANTCCTGACTTCCTGCAAGAGGCGCAGGTGAGCCTCCTGACTTCTTGCAGCAGGCGCAGGTGAGCCTCCTGACTTCCTGCAACAGGCGCAGGTGAGCCTCCTGACTTCTTGCAGCAGGCGCGGGTGAGCCTCCTGACTTCTTGCAGCAGGCGCGGGTGAGCCTCCTGACTTCTTGCAACAGACGTTGCTCTAACAAATTTGTATGCGGGCCGACTGCAGCAGACGCCGCGTAGGACTCTGGAAGCACGTCAATCAGCCGCTCATGTCCGCCTCGGCCGGGCTTGAAGTTTAGTCCCTAAGACGCTGGCAAGCTTGGCATGACTCGGTTTTGGCCAATCTTGTCATACTGTCAGGACTTATTTGTCATACTTTTAATCCACACACTTGTCTTACTCATACTCTCAGGACACTATTTAAACAGAAAAGAGATTCAGACCAGAAATTATTTCGATTGGGTGGCCTGCAGACATAGAATAACTTTAAGCTGAATGTTACGACTCCTGGGCAGAAGCCCGGGCGTTACTCTAATTTTGCTAGGGATGGCGAGTCTCCTGGCATCCTGCAGTAGGCGCAGGAATTCAAGAAGAATTTCTTCAGTCAAACAGATTTCGTATTTGATGGCCGTTGTAATAATTGTCATGGAACTTTATTTTATACAACTTTGATCACCAATCTACCGTCGTCTGCAGCCTGTGCCTGAATTCCTGCAGGAGCGAGCCTGCCTCTTGCAGCAGACGGACGAGTGCCCGTCCTCTGTGGACGCTAAGCCCCCCGCGGAAGACGAGGGGCGCCGGTACGGCGTTTTGGACCTTTTCAGGACCCCCAACCTGGCACGCAAAACTGTCATCATCACCTTCATTTGGTGCGAAAATAATTTCTCTCATTTTCATCTGTTCCAAAAATAAAATATTTTCAGATCGCAACCTTCACCTAGTTACAAATTAATATTTATTTGTGCTATTGCCGTCATCTGGTGCGAGAATAAGTATATTTCATCATCACCTTCATCTGATACATGAATAATGTTTTTTTTATCACCTTCATTTGGTAACATAACGAGAATTTACGTAATAGCACATACGATTTCCAACGTAATTGCACTATGTAGCATCATCGCGATAATACGATTATTCTTGTAAATTTTGGGTTCTCGAACCGAACTCCCTCCTTCCTGGAGTTCAGGTTCACGAACCCAAATTCTCCCTGATGTTTAGGTTCACGAACAAACCTCCTTTTCCTGACGTTTAGGCTCGCGAACCGAAGACTCTTCGCCTTCTCGATATTTAGGTTCACGAACCTAACACCCTTTTTCCCAGACGTTTAGGTTAACGAACCGAACTCCAGTTCACGAACACGTCGGTGTACGTGGGGCTGTCTTACTACGCCCCCGCCCTCGGGGGTGACCCGTACCTGAACTTCCTGCTGGCTGGGCTGTCGGAGCTGCCGACGTACCTCTTCTTGTGGCCCAGCATGGAGTTCTGGGGGCGCCGCTGGACTCTCTGTACCTCCATGATCATCGGCGGCGCCGCCTGCATCGCCACCGTCTGCGTGCAGGAAGGTAGGCTAGGGGGATGAAGGGTTGGAGGGATGAAGGGTTGGAGGGATGAAGGGTTGGAGGGATGAAGGGTTGGAGGGATAAAGACTCGGAGGAATGAAGGCTCGGGGATGGAGGAAGGTTGGGCTTGTAGCTATTCGTTTACACTAATTTTATATTTTTCATATGTTTCGACTAGAATTTAGATTTAATTATGAAATTTTTTCCTTAAGTAAAGACGTAATCATCATTAATTCAATTCCTATCATCGGAAGGGTTTTTAGCGCATTTTCTCATTTATGGAAAAATGCACTATTGTGCTCGCCATGTCCGTCTGTCTGTCCGTCCGTCAGTCCGTCTGTCCGTCCGTCCGTGATCTCAAGTTTTCGTCGACGAGAAAATGCGCTCTCTGTCACTCACTGCAGTGAGTACTGCGTTATATATATTTTTATATTTTTAGCATTAATGTGCCATGATATCATACGAACATACTTTAATAATTGGAACATAAATTTATTGCCAGCCAAAATGTATAAATGTGACGCGTCGTTGAAGCGAAACGAATTTGCGACATTCGGAATGCCGCACTCTTTTTACTCCTATTCCAAAATATAAATTTGTAATAACTCAGATAAGTAAATAAAGTGTTAACAAATCGTATATTTCAGACGCGAGGCCAAAGCTGGTGTTATACTTACAGAATCCCTTAATATATTTAATCTATTTATCTGTATTCCTGAGAATATACCATGTGGTTTGTCATTATACTACCAATATAAACTTATAATCAATATAATATATAAACAATATTCTACCAATAAAGTGTAAGCAAAACGTTCATTCTGGACGCAAGCGCTGTCCTTAGATAAACAAGTTATCTGTTTACTGATATTCTAGAGCAAATAAGTGGTTTATAATACCAAATACATTGCAAATAATTCCACTACTAAAATTAGCAAAGTGTCAGCAAAACGTGCGTTTCAGACGCTGGGCTGACGCTAGCACTGTCCTCAAATAAATCTGTTCATTGATATTTCAGAGAACAAAAGTGTATTTCCAATCAACTACAATCCTAAAATAAGCAAAATGTCAGCAAAACGTGCGTTTCAGGCGCTGGGCTGACGCTAGCGCTTTCGTTAGATAAACCAATTATCTGTTTATTGATATTCTAGAGCAAATAAGTCGTTTATAATAATATAATACCAAATACATTGCAATCAATTCCACTACTAAAATTAGCAAAATGTCAGCAAAACGTACGTTTCAAACGCTGGACTGACGCTAGCGCTGTCCTTAGATAAACCAGTTATCTATTTATTGATATTTCAGATAAAATAAGTGATTTATTATGCATTGCAATCAATTCCACTACCAAAATTAGCAAAATGTCAGCAAAACGTACGTTCCAGACGCTGGGCTGACGCTAGCACTGTACTGCGTTGGCAAGTTCGGGATCTCGTCTTCGTTCGTGGCGCTGCCGCTGCTGGCGTCAGAACTGTACCCGACGGTGGTGCGGGGAGTGGGGCTGTCAGTGTCAGCAGTCGCTGGCATGCTGGGGCCAATAGTTGTGCCTCTTATCAACCATCTCGTGCGTTATCAGTTAATAATATTTACTGATGAAGCTTATCACGCGTTATCAGTCTATGATAATAAATTATAAAGCTTGCTCGTGAGTTATCACTGAAAAATAAGAATTTTTAAAACTATCTAAAATTTTTAAAACTATCTTAAAACTATCGTAGGTCATGAACCGTTAAAATATTTTATACAATACCGTGGATCTTTCCTGAATGAAATTTATCTATTTATCCAGATAAATTTATCCAGAACGAAAATACCATAAATAGCAAATAGCAATACCCCTTGCTACTTATATTCCTATATTATTCTATATTTACAATAATATTTTGATAATATGAAAATATAATTTTACTGTAATCTTGTTTATGACTAACTGTTTATTTGTAAGGTTTGTGTTTACTGCGACAGTTAGACGGTTATTACAATTGTTGTATAATATATTGGTTAGTTTTAATGATATTTTCGGTTATATTAATTGTTTTGCAACATGAATCTTTCATTCCATTTTTAATGCTTCAATGGTTGATCATGTTTCCATAGTTCAATATTATTAATGTCGTGCTATTATCTTAGATATATATTTATCTCAATGTTCAGAAGAAGTTCAGATCTAGAAACACAAATACAATCAATTAGTAGAGTAAAATGTACTGTTAGGCTTTTAATGATGCCTAACAATGCCGCTATTAGCTCCGTTCCTCTCGAAATAGTAAATAGATAGGCCGTTTACTAGCGTTAATTTCATGTCTTATTTATTTATTCTCCGTTTTAAAACCTAACAGTACCTTTTATCTCAATGTTGTTATTTTACCTCTGACATCGCAGGGCTCAGAGATGCTGGTGCTGCCGCTGATGATCATGGGGGGCCTGCTGGTGCTGGGGGGCCTCTTCTCCCTACTGCTGCCTGAGACGCTGCAATTTTTCAACATTATAATTAATAATAATAATGATAATAACAATAATAATTTTGCCAGGTTCTGCCAAACACGCTGCAGGAGGGAGAGCAGTTCGGTCAGAACCTCTCAGCGAGCGACTACTGCAACTGCTGCCCAGCCCGCAGGTAAGTCTTTAGTAATTACCTGAACATGTAACTAATTACCTACGTGATTAATTAGGAAAGTAATTAGTTAAAAATTGCATGGAAGGAATTCTAGTGGGAAGAATTGTAAACTTGCACAGTTGAGAATAATAAAAGTGAACTTCTAACCTGCCAGATATTGCAGGAACTGGCCCAATCATGTTAATTTAACAATTATCACTATAGTCATTTGTACCATTATGATAATCATCAACTTTTTAATGATAGTCATCATTGCAGGTCCAATGGCAGAGTCTCCTCCACCGAACGCCAGTACGGGCAGTTGGCCACCGCAGCCACGCAGCGGCCGAAGAATGTTAATTAATATTCTTTTTCATTAATAGTGGGAATGATAATTATTAATATATTAATTAGTAATTAGAGGTAATGATTTTCCTTTCATATGAAGGCTAGAAACAGAAACTCATACCAGCATAAACACCGACAAGGGAAGGCGGGTCGAGATGATAAAATTGTTAAAAATTACACAGCAATTACACAGTAATTACACAGTAATAACACAGTAATTACACGGTAATTACACAGCAATTACACAGTAATAACACAGTAATTACACGGTAATTACACAGTAATTGCACGGTAATTACACAGTAATTACACAGTAATAACACAGCAATTACACAGTAATTACACAGTAATAACACAGCAATTACACAGTAATTACACAGTAATTACACAGTAATTGCACAATAATAACACAGCAATTACACAGTAATTACACAGCAATTACACAGCAATTACACAGTAATAACACAGCAATTACACAGTAATAACACAGCAATTACACAGTAATAACACAGCAATTACACAGTAATAACACAGTAATTACACGGTAATTACACAGTAATTGCACAATAAATACACGGTAATAATACAGTTTTTACACAATGTTCAGTAAAATTTTCCTCGTACGTTTAAGCGAGGGACTGAGCTTGCTGATGTTGAACTTAAGTTTTCTATGACAACCAAACAATGTTGTGAATTTCAAGTGTTAATTTTCAAGTGCAAAACCTTTAAGCTGTAGACGTTTTTCTGTTAACAAGCTGGCTAAATAATGTGGAAGTCGCATAAACTTTCTTGCCAATTAGAAAGTTATAAGTTAACTTACAGAAACTTTCATCATTTGTCTAAAAGTTAGTTGATTCAATGATGTACATGTATAATTTGCGGAAACTTACATCATGTCACTTTGCGAGCTCATTCAATAACATAGAATATTAGGAATTAATTAATATTAAATAAATAATAAATAATTATTAATAAATAATTTTGTATAAGTAATATTAAATGATAATTAATCAATTAATAATAAATAATTATTAAATAAAGAATATTAAATATTTGATAAGTAAAGATATATGAAATAAGTATAAATCAATTAATATTAAATTATTATTATTCAATAAATATAATAAAAAATTGATATTGTTATTACGCTGGCTATTGAAGATGCCATCTCGTAAAATTAACAAATTCTCACGTGTTTTGAGTGTTAAACATAATACAAAACTTCGCGAACCAAGTCTTCACACATATGCCATTATATTATATTTTATGAATCTGTGTTTTATGAATATGATTGAATCCAAAATTCTATAAATAATAATAATAATAATAATAATTATAATAATAATAATAATAATAATAATAATAATAATAATAATAATAGTATTCATGTTTTTTAGTTGAATGTTTTTTATTGACACTAATAGTAATAAGTATTGAATGTTTTTTAGTTCGNACTTCATCCCAGTGAAACTGTCGACCGGCGGTAGAGAACACGGACCAATATCTGCCATACTTAGCGAGAAACCCGCTATGGGCCCATGACCCGCAGTGGGCTCGCTGCCCCATGTTACCCTATTCAATTCAGCACCTATTATTTCATGCCTCAAATATTCAAAAACCGATCGAAAAAAATTAAAATAAGTGAAATAGAAATTGCACCAACATAACCTTTAATCCTGGGCAGACCATTTTAATTAAATAACAATATAACCCCATTTTAAAGACCATTTTGAAACCATTTCCAGACAGCTCTAAAGACTATTTAACACCATTTTAAGACCATTTCAACGCAATTTTAACACAATTTTAACACCATTCTAAAGACCTTTTCAAGACCATTTTAAAAGGCAACCTGAGATGGTCAATAATATTAATGAGGAAGAAGGCAGGGCATTAATAGCATGGAGGAACAGCTTATTACTTTATATTGATGACTTCAATAAACTTTAATTGACGTGAATATAGACTTAAACAGACTCCATTAATGCTTCGGAATAACTAAATCACGGATACACCGCGAATAAGAGAAATAGTAATAATAATGGCAAGAATATTGCTCGAGAATAATAGCAATAATAAAATAGATCAAATATATGCAATAAAGAATGATAATAGCTCCGAAAATTCAATAATAGCTAAGAAGAGAATAACAAAACGGCTTAAAAATGATTAAAGTAACGCAATGTGACGGGCTTAAGTCTTAAGTCGAAACTTGTCATCCGTGCACTCATAGAAATTAGTGAGGTTTTTCTCCAAACAGCGACGCGATATTTGCTGTTATGTGAGTCATCCCGACCCAGATTGACCCGGCAAAAGGTCAACATTAATTACAGACAGAAAATATGTCACTAATTTGGACGATATGATCCAATGATTTTTTTGAGTGCGCTCTATTTATTTACGCCGCACTTATATTTTTTATATAATATTTTTATATTCACACTTATATTTTAGTGAAGGCGAGATAGTAAATCGTGGCGGCAAACACGCGTTAAAATAAACCGTTAATTGATGACTGAAATATCGGTATTGAAATACGGCGCTGCGCCGCTGAGCTCTGATGGGGATTTACGACCTCTCGCATGCGCAACTTATTTTATGTGCCTGGGATTATTCCGTGTTATTTTAGTGCTTTTATTGTGGAATATTCCGTGTTATTTTATGTGCCTGGGATTATTCCGTGTTATTTTAGTGCTTTTATTGTGGAATATTCCGTGTTATTTTAGTGCTTTTATTGTGGAATATTCCGTGTTATTTTAGTGCTTTTATTGTGGAATATTCCGTGTTATTTTAGTGCTTTTATTGTGGAATATTCCGTGTTATTTTAGTGCTTTTATTGTGGAATATTCCGTGTTATTTTAGTGCTTTTATTGTATTGAATGCTGTTGCATTGGCCGTGTTCATGATATTTGCTATTCGATGTTCATGATCATGATTATATTGGACGCTGTTTAATGGCCGTGTTAATAATATATGTCATTAGGAATTAGTTATTATTTTGGATGCTGTTTCATTGGCTGTGCTAATTCTTTATACCTACGTCATTTTACGTTCATGAATGCTGTTCTATCAACCATGTTATTTTAGCTATAATAACTGTTATAATATGTAAGTGATTGCATTAGACATTAGTTTATACCTGCAATATTATTATAGTTTATAATATTTTATTTTATCATTGTGTCATGAAAATTGATATCTTGAATATCGTAGGGACCTTCTTGTGAGTCAGAGGGAAGGGAAATAAGTATGGGTCAAGCTTCAGTCAAATGGATCCTTAAGTGATTTTAGATATTCTCTTGAAAATCAGTTGCGCGTAAAGCCGTTCAGGACGTGGCTGAACGGTGCTATACAGAGCCAGTACGGTGCTATACAGAGCCAGTACGGGGCTATACAGAGCCAGTACGGTGCTATACAGTGTCAATTCTGACAAACTTATTCGGCCTTCTTTCACGTGGCGTTGTTGCTAAATCCTAAATATTTTCGAGTATTCCATCGCTACGTTTTTTAGTATTTCGATAGGTTGAAGTTTAAAAAAATTATCTGCAGATTATGGAATCTTTTTTCAACCAATCAAATCGCCAGAGTGCGGTTCACCACCAGAGTTTGGAAAGTTTTTAATGGAAATATGATGGGATATAAATGAAAGCACATTTCAGTTCTTAGCTTATCAGAGAGCAACGAGTTGTCGAATAAAAGTTATGATTAAACGCTGAATTCTCTCTGGTATGAAAAAATATACATCCTCAAATAACATTAGAAAGTCCACGGACATTGCAGCGATGATTTAAGTTACTTTTCTTCACTGTGATGTTGACAGTTGTTAGTTTTCTCGGCGAGCGTTTTTAGAATATCTTCATTCATATTCAATGGTGCTTTGGATTTAAGTTTGCTATTTTAACACTAATAAATACGATGTATTTTTTTGCTTACCATTTTATTCATGGTTTAGGGAATAGTTCTAAACGATGTTATCACTAAATTGTCATCGTTTAAAATACCTTGAAGATCATTAATAATATCATTACTTTCAACGAATATCGATGACACTGATATAATATTTTTATAAACTTAGGCTCTGAATTTTTAGCGACAATAATGGATTACCCTAAACACGTGAGAAATTAATTGAATTCTCACAAAATTTTTAAAATAATTGACTTACTTTAAAACTTGCACAATTTTTTATGAGCTAAATTTAAACTTGTTGAAAACTCTACGCAGTGCAAAGTGTATAAATTAGAGTGACCATGAGTGTACTTGGAGTGACCATGTTGTAAAGACGACCCCAGAACTGCACTCGAATGTCGCTTAGACACTCACATATCGAACAAAGAAAAATAAAAAGACGTTTTGCGTCGAGTCGTCCAAATGTCCCAGTGTGAAATTCTCCGCAGCTCAAAGGATTGCCTGTTTCTCTGGAATGCGTCTGCTGTCAGAATACAGGAGCGAAGATTTAAAAATTTCCTAACGGCTTACGTGTGTGCAGCTTACAAGATGCTTGTCCTCCTCTAGTTCGGAGTAAAATAAGCAGAATTTTTTGTAGTTGTGTTTTCAAAAGCATTGTTAGCGGGACCGAGGCGTGAACACTCATGTGTATACAGAGAGCGTGCAGAGAAGAGGCTGTGCCGTAACCCGTAACGGCCGCCAGGCGCAATTAGAGCGCTGCAATCGCTTGTGAATTGCCGACTTGCTGCGAAAATAGCGAGTGTTCCTAAACGACGTCGGGGCGTCCAAGCAGCGTTTCCATGCCTTGAGTTTCACAGCAACCGAGTTTATAAGACGCTCGGCATCCATTCAACACCGTAAATCTTTTCCATGTTTTCCATCAATTCATCATTAACTTTACTAATTTACCTACCGGTGTTCCTGATAGCCAAGTTCAAATCCGTAAGTACTCGTGGATATAATCTGCATGGAGCCAAAAGGCGGATAGCTCACGCTTGACGATGTGGCGAGAACGGGATCTAAAATCCAGCGGCAATCTCTGGTGACGTCGGGCGCCATGTTTCTCCGTACTTACGGCCAGAGGAAGGTGCAGAATAAATGAGATTACCAATGGTTGGGGGGGCCTTAGCACTAATGTATGTATGTGCCGGGGGAAAAAGCCTTGGTTATAATCGTAACTTGGACCTGTCTTTTCCAAACGTGATCGTTGTGCCAGTGACACTCGAGGCGCTGTTTTGTTTCGCTGCCGCTAAA